GTAGTGAGGTTGGCCCAGGATTGGACATTGTTTCCTTCTGCTGTGCATGGGGTCACTATGAGTCGGTTCCGACTCGATGGCACCTAACAACAGCAACCTGCTTATTTAAAAACAAGATCAAGGACTCTAAAAGGTCTTCCTTTACCATGAACACCTGTTTTCTGATTACCATGTAGGTGACAACACATCTTATATGCTAACTGGATCAACTAAAACGCTGAAATCCCTTTAATCCTATTTATCCATGTATCCTTCAAGCCACTCACCATTTATTTGAGGCCTACCTTGTGCAAACTTCTATGTTAGACAAATATGTGCCCTTATCCCAGGGTGTTTGTTGTCAGGTTCCTGAAGGTCTGAGGAGTACTGCATGTGAGTCTTGGCATGCTTAACTAGTCTGCTGAAATCTCAGGGATGAACCTACTAAGTCCTTAGTGGCATTCATCATGTCCTGTATATCAAGTCTAATAAATTTAAGTGAAAAACTCTAGCAAATGATATTTGCAGATGGCGGGTATTAGAGTTCTTTTTCAACTACATGTTAAAACTATAGGAGATTCTTCTATTTTAAATGTATACAGCTCAGTTTCTCTTGTATGCATATTTCTTTCATAACTTTTGTTATCAATGTACCTCCTTGGGAGAGACTGCTACTAATGGAGTTAACAATGCTTCTTTGAAGACATTCAGTGCCGCTACACAAAGCAACTCTCAGTTTAGGGGAAAAATGGATCATTTAAGTACACATAGAACTTACTGTTCTCTTGCTGAAACCCAGCAAAGCTTATCATTCCCATCTTGTTTTAGAATGTTCATTAGTGCTTGTCTTGATGAATTTTCATAAACAGTTCCTAAGAAATTACATAAGTATGGCCTCTCATCATGTAACATTGACCAACTTGCTTCTACTACAGGAAAATTCCTATATCTATAAAAGATAAGTACACATGAATTAACAATACATGACAAGCAGATTGACAAAATTCTCAAAAACAAACATTTTATGTAACATGCTAATGATAAGTTTTGAAATATTAATTTCTTAACCCTAACTTGTAATTTTCCATGCTTCTTTGGAAAAGTCCCCAAACCAACTGACTTAAAAAAAGAAATCTCACATTGACAATTTACAAAATTGCCATGAGCTTATGTGCCTAAAGCTCGTTGTATTTTATCACCTCCCATTACTCATCTGCAACTTATATATAAATCAAATTCAAGACCTTCAAAGTAAAAACATAACCAAACCCAAACTTCTCCGTTTACAATAATCATGACCTAGCCAGTGTGATAGGCAGGAGATGGAAAGAAGACAGGAGCCATATTGCTGGACATTACAAACTTGTTAAGTGCTGCCCAGTCCATCCTGATTCAGCGACTCTGTATAGGGTTTCCGAGGGACGGCTGGAGAATTTGAACTGCTAATCTTGGTTAGTAGTCAAGTGCTTATGCTACAGCACCACACCAGGACTCTATATAGCCAAGGGTTCTGCAAAATTAATTTCATGGCTTTTTGAGTAGCTAAACAAAAAACAAAATAAAACACAATGTATGTCATATAAGAGAGGCCTGTAGAAATGGGCTCATGCGCATGGGCATTTGGAAATACAGGAATCAAATAGTGTATGTGAAACATACCTTTCAGGGAAGAGTCACATTTTACATCTATAATAAAGTTTCTGACATTTTGTGACAAATAAAAATGTTTCTATACATTGTCAAATGTCTCTTGTAAACAAAACTGTCCCTGGTTGCATTTGATCTATTTTGAAAGATATTGGCCTTATCTAAAAACACCAGAATTGCAAAGACTGTCTGTCATATACTTTATTAATAGAGTATGTAAAGTTACTGTTAAAAATTAATATTCTGTTTTAAAACATTTTATAAACATACCTGTTGCTATTGTTGTTAAGTGCCGTCGAGTGGGTTCCAACTTTTAGTGACCCAATATAGGGTTTCTGAGGCTATAAATCTTTGCCAGAATCTTTCTTTCATGGAGCAGCTGGTGTCTCGAACCACCAACCTTGTGGTCTGCAGTCCAGTGCTTACCCTGCAGAGCCACCATGCTCTCACTCCTTACTTAATCAACTATCTCATTATCTGACATTTTGTATTATCAATAGTAAAAAATCTATCCAACTATTTGGTGCAGTAACAACATATCTGGCAGTAATGAATACCGAAGCGCAAGGCTAGAGCCCTGCTGGCTATGATGAAGGTTATGTGCCAGCTTGGCGGGGGTCATGATTCTCAGTGGTTTGGCAGTTACATCATGATGGAATAATGTAGTCATCCTCCATTCTGTGGTCTGATGTGGTTATCTTCTACTTTTGCAGAATGCTGATTTTTTAACATCTTAGTATTTAGAACCTAACCTTGTTGATTAATGAGGAGTGGGTGTACGAGGGACTTAGACTTGACTGTACTTAACAAAAATCTTACTGCCTGGCCCTACCTCAAATCTGGAGTCCTGGTGGCACTGCAAGATAAGAACTGGACTGCTAGTCACGAGGTTGGCAGTTCAAAGCTGCTCCTTGGAAATGCTATACAGATCTCTTTGAGTTAGAGCTGACTCCATGGAACTTAACAACAACTACCTCAAATCTACTGAGTCAGAATCTTAGGGGTTGGGCCCTGAAAGATACCTTATTAATGTACTCCCTGGGTTAATATTTGAGTAATTAAATATGTCTTCTTAATTAATGTACTTCCTGGGTGATATCTGTGTAGTCAAGTAGATACCAGCCCAAAGCCACATTTGGTAGCCAGCGGTAGAATGCTAAATGAGTTTCCAAAAACCATGCCAGTAAGATTTTTCTGGGAATAGAGCCTAAAAGAGACAAAAATTTCTGCCTTCAAGAAGTTTATATACTAGTGGCAATTTACTCTAAAAATTAATTTTCTATAAATTAAAACCCTTGTATAACAGAAATATAAGAACAAATATTTTCTACTTTATATCTGGAGCTAGGCCTTATAGATATCAAATACACTGAGAAGCCTTAGCATCATTTAATCAATCCCTCATTTTACATACTTTGTTGTTGTTATGAGCTGTCTAGTCAGTTCCAACTCATAGCGACGCTATATAAGGTTTCCAAGGAGAGGCTGATGGGCTTGAAGTGCCATACCAGGACTACATCTTACATACTAGATTTGTACAAAATCAATCATTTTAGGGGGATATGGGAGCATAATGCAATCCTCCCAAATTCCAGGGTCCAGTATACTTTTAATATTACTGCCTTTAAAGTAAGGCTTAAAACCAGTTTTATTATTTTTTTAATCTATAAAAGATATAGATTCTAAAACTATTTTGAGAAAATTTGCCATTCTCTGCTAAGCATGTCTTGAGACACTCTAGACATTCAGCAGATGACTTGGGGTTTTAAAACAGAAATAAGATATGTTGCTTATCTGTTGTCTTCATTAAAAGGATAAAACCCTTTAAAGACATCATTATTGTCATTGAAGCATGAGACCAAACCACATTTTTGCTTCAAGGAAGGACTGTACTTGTTCTTTGTTGTTGTTAAGTGTCATCGAATAGGTTCTGATTCATAGTGACCCTGTATAGGGTTTCTACCTGTTGGGTTTGAACTGCTGACCTTGTGGTTAACAGTCCAGTGCCTACCCTACACCAGGACTCTTTAATGACACCAAAAGAACAAAATTTTCTGCAAAAAAAATTTTCTTTTTAAAATTTTCTGCAAATTTTAAGCACAATCTTCCTGATTCAGAAATTCATCTCTCAGAGTCTAAAAATGAGTATGATATTTTATACTTACGTTGCTACGCCTAAAGGCCACTGGAAAACATCCACTCCATTAATCCAGGGGCTGTCATATATTATGAAAAGGAGCTCAACAGAGCCTCCATTACTTTTGAGGAACTGGCTTATCCATTCATTATTACAATGTTCATTTCCAAGCAAAACAACAGCCAGATGTTGGAGCTTTTGAGTTTGCACTAAATTTTGTGCATAAAGTAACCACTGGGTGGCATGAAAGACTTTTGTTTTCTCTCTTCCATTTAAAATGAGTACCACATTATGCACATCAACAGAGAAGTACCCTGGAACTACAGCTGGACCAGTGATGAAGCTGTTAAGAACAATGAAACAAAAACAGCAGACAAATAAACAAAAACAGGACAATGTTATTTAGCATCAGAAGTAGTTAATCATTTTATATAAATTCTATCATAAGATTTAATTTATACTCTTTCTAGAAATGTACATTGTATAGTACAAATTCTTATGTACAGTCTGAAAGATGGGGAAAAGCTATAGATGAATGGGAAGAGCTTTGGTTATAGATGTATCAACTTGCATGGGATAGTTAAAAATGTAGTAGACTTTTTAATGGCTTTAATCCCATTCAAAGTAAATACTGCGTAGAATAGCATGATACTCTGCAAATAAGGGGCAGTACAAACCAAGAAGGTGCTTAATGAAAGTCAGTAGTCCCCAATCCATGAGTGCGCTCCTTATCTGAATGAAGTCTTGGAATAGATTGATGAGAAAGTGTCAATGAACTGAGCAGGAAAACTGTATTATAAACATTCTACGACTCACCAGCACTTGACAACAACAATGGAGGGTTAAGTTTCAAGAAGAGTAGTATGATGTTAGGGGGGGGAAAGCAAGCTCCACAACACTCAGTAAACTAGGGAAGCCATATATAATAGATAAAAAAGTATATAGAAAAAAATTTACATTTATTCATGTGTGACTAGTATAAATGTAGATGTAAAAATTTTTATGGGAGGATCCACAGCAAATTTATGACAGTGGCTGCCTCCGTGGAAGAAGGAAGAAATGCCCAGAGAGCTTCTGTTTTATTGGACACATTTAGTATTATTTTAAGAGGAAAGTTAATATCTAAAGCAAATATGACAGAGCTGGAATCTGATAGTTCTAGATGGTACGTAAGTGGAAATTTGTTGAATTCATCTCTGTTCTTTATTACATTTTCAAACTTTTCATAAGAGGATTAAGCATGTTGTATAACTCACATTTTCATGGTAAGTGCTGCTTAGAACAATCACTAATACTGAAATATTTTAAACTTTATATCTTAAATATAAAAAAATCCCATGTAATCCATCTTAAAATGAATCACACTGGTCCTGGATTCTTCACAACCTGGAGTCTCGGTGTGACACTGTAGGATAAGCACTGGACTGCTAACTGCAAGGCCAGCAGTTCAAACACACCAGTTGATCCTCGAAACTGTACACAGCGTAGATATGAGGTGGAACCAACTCAATGGCACTCAACAATAACAAAACCTTTTAATCTTTATTATTATGCTATTAGGTGCCATTGAGTTGGTTTAGACTCAATGACCCTGTCTGTACTGGGTTTCCTAAGAGCAGCTGGTGGGTTTGAACTAGCAATCTTGTAAGCAATGCAGTGCTTACCCTACAACACCACAACAGGACTCCTTTAATATTTAGTTGTATGGTAAAATTAGCAATCAGAGCAGGATTTAAATCTTTAGGTGTATGCTAAAATCCTGCTTTGATTGCTTATTGGTACTAGAAAAGAAATCTAACATTAAGTGCTTGTGAGTTTGAATTGTGAATCAAAAGGTTGGCAGTGCAAGCCCACCAGCTGCTCCTTGGAAATGCTGTTTAAGTTCTTTCCACTACTGTTGTTAAAGAGCCCAGGTGGTGCAAACGTTTACTGCTCAACTGCTGACTACAAAGTTGGTGGTTTGAACCCACCGGCCGCTCTGAGAGACAATAGACCTGTCCATTTACTCCCATAAAGATAATCACCTTAGGAACTCTCTGAGGCAGATATGTTCTGCATATAGGGTAACTATGAGTCATAATACATTTGATGGCCCGCCACAGCTTCCTCTTTCTCCTGTGTATATTTAATTATAATATAAAATTTTAGATAAAATCTCCACAAAGATGGGTAAATTAAGCTTTGTTTTGTGAGTTAATGCTGTTTGGCCCAATACTTTGCTATCATTTTAATGATCTTGTATAGTTTTAAGTTTTTTAAAAAAAGTTTTTATTGTGAATTATGTGTTAGTTTACATGGGTGAACATTATCTTTACATTCATCCTATCGTCCTTTGTTTCACTGCAATGACCACAATCCCCTGCATGCATCATCAAATACCTAAAGGGTATACCCTACACTCATACCCCCGCCCCACCCCCACCCCCAACACCCAGCTGCCAGCACACAGCACCTCTCCTTCCGAGTCCAGAGTCCTCAGCCGCTACCCGCTATTTCTGTCCACGTCATTGTCTCTGCCTCCATCCCTAGTGTCACTGCCTTCTGGACATAGTCTCCCATTTCACTTTTCTCCCTTGATAGTTCCCAGGATCTCTGCTCCTGGTCTGCAAAATCAGCCACTCCCCTCCTTTTGTTACCAAACATTTACATTTACCTTTCCAGCACTCACTGTCAACCTGATAGCGATCATTCCCTATTGAACCACAGGAGTCCTTTTCCCCTCACCTTTTATTAACCTCATCCAGATAGGATGGAAACAATTCAGTGGAGGTTCTACATTTCCCTGTATCCTCTGGAGCTAAGTTCCCTATTGAAAACTTGTAAGCCAGTCACTTCTTGCCTTTGTAGGCCCCCCATTTTGGGTAGCCAATGTCTAAGTTCCCCCTTCCTGTTGACCCTGTGTACCGAGGGGGTTTGAATGATCCTTACTGTAGAGATTTATCTGCTCCTTTGTCATACTGCATCCACAAGCACAGGTCAAGTTCATCCACTTATGGTGGGTTACTCCTTTTTTTTTTTCCCTCTTCTTTCTTCCTCTAGTCATGTTCTGATCATCCAGCCATTAATGCCAGGTAAAATGGGTACCTCCAAGTGTGGGTATTCTTGTGCATGCCCCCTCTCTTTATATCAGCTGGATGCTTCACACTCCATTCTAGTCCTCTGGGGCCATGTCTCTGCCCTTGGGCTCAGGAGTCCCTAGGTCTTGTCATACTGCTGGTTAGGTTAACAGGAGACTATTGAATGTGGTCGGACTTATTTCACAACTTCATTGCTGTTTTTCTCCCCTTCCCCTTATTGGTGACAACATGGTCAGCAGCAGAACCATATGCCTGCTAGTGTATTCCATTTGAGTTTCAGTCTTGGAAGGCGGTTTGCCTTGAGGGGACCTGACCTCTTGCCTTGATGGCTCCCTGGAGAACAACTTGCTTGTTCTTGTAGTAAGCAGTCAATTGGACTGTTGTTGTTTTTTCCTGCTGGTCTTTATTTCAAGAAGTATTTTCTATCCTTCTAGCTGCTCCAGACTGGTCTGTTTGTCCTTTCACATGGGAATGTCCCACCTCAGAAAATTCTGGATGATGATCAGGATTTCACTTATGGTCTTGTGCAGTGCAAAGGCTCTGCATGGAGCCTCCTTCACTGGGCAAGTTCTAGCCCTATTTTAGTTATTCCAAAAAGTTATAGGCTGAAGATGGACTTACAAGCTTTCTCTGGTGATGTTTCTGGCTATTCCTTTCTCTCCCCTTCAAGTGTCTATTTTACAATAGTAGACAAGGGAAACCAAGATTCAACAGACAGCCAAGCATCTTAACATCATTTCCCCACTTTTACCCATTCGGACCATGCCTCAATCTCTGTATCCACGAGCCCTGTTGTTCCACATTTGTGCTCAGATCGTTATTTATCTCTGTCCCATTTAGCCCATGTAAACCTGCCTAGCTATTCTCCCATCCACCTTACTTTCCTTTCTCCTTCTAGTGTATTGTCCCTTCCCCCCC